CTTTTTACTTCTCTCCCGCCCCCAGGACGGAAATGTAATGTAATCAAATTTGAGTGTGCTCTGAACGCCCCTCTCAACTCAGATTACATTTCCCCCCCCCTGAATCGAGCACTTCGAAATCACATTAATTTGGAATACGTAGTCTAAAACAGCTTAATGTGCTGCTCACAGTCGAAAGCTCCGTTTCCCAGACTGTAGCAAGGAGATCATCTAGAGAGAATGCGCAATAAACCTGTAGGCCAAGCTTTTAAGAAAAACTCGTCAAAAAAAACAACAACCCCGAACACCATGGTATGTGAATAATGGGTGAACACATATCTTAAACCCAACAACAAATAATCAAACAAAACCACGTCAGGACAAGAGGGAGGGATGGGGGGGTGTGGCATCGAGCTGAATGGCAACTTTTCAACGCGTAAATCGTAAGACAAGTGATCTCATAAACGTGTATGTGTTATCAACAATAAAAAGAAATCTCTCCCTAGCGGAAGAAAACCCCACACGCACGCGCCGTTTAATACTTCACTGCACACGTGCAACATTTCGGCTTCTGATGTTTGTTTTCTTTCAAAGAAATGCGATACGTGCAGGATTGCTAGATTGTTTTCGTTCGTCTATAATTAGCATATTTGACGTCACAGACGAGAGATTGGAAAAGATAAAACGCTTTCTGAATGTGAACACAAGGTAACAGCTTCTGTAAACAGTAATTTAAAAAACTAAAGCAAATAAGACATAGTCTTTGAACTTACGGTGCATCCACAATAGACAATATGGACACATGACAAAAATTAGCTCTAAAGAAGTATAGCTTCACCGTGTGTCTGTGGCATAGCGGTTTGGCGCTCCGCTGTCGCTCATAAAAGAGTGGAGAACCATTCCAACGTGCGGGAAATTTCTATCAAACATCTTGGTCTTTCTTCTAGGGCGTCTTCCACGCTTAGCCTGGGTTTTCCCTGAAAAGTAAGGTCGAAGCCCGCCTCCTAAATGAAGTAAACCAGGGGTGTCAAACTCGTTCGCTCGTGGGGGAGGGGGGGGGGGGGGAGGGGGGGGGGGTCAAAGTTAAAACACACTTAGGTTGAAGGCCAAACTGTGCAAATACTCACTGAGAAATGGAAAATGAAGCCTTTAATGAACGTAGCAAAAAACAAAAAAGACAAAAGTTTGGATAGTAACAAATTCGGGC